ACACACACACACACACACACACACACACACACACACACACACACACACACACACACACACACACAATTATTATTTTTTGTTTGTTAAATACCACCGTTTTCTTGAAAACGTTTGTGACATGAAAACACCCATGACACATGACACATGAACAACAAACTATTCTTTATGCATCCACCAGCCATGGACAATCTGTTGTCTTAGGAAATATAATGAGATCCAATAGAAGTTATACATCTAACAATATTTCTCTTACTGTAGAAGTTAAGTGTGAGGTCAAACTGTTGAGAGCTGCTCGGTATGATGTCATACAGCTGTCCATTAACGCGCACAACCACTGATTTATGTCTTCTCTTGATAAAATAAATGAATAAAAGAGTATGACCGAAGGAAGTCGTGCAGCTGACCAAATCTCGCTGAAGATTGATTGCACTGTCGAGACATTATCTGGGTGATGTATTTCCATTAGCGCAGAAGTAGAATCAATAATGGCATGCTTGTTAGCTCAGTGCATTTTATCTGCTACATTCTCAAAAGGTCAGTCATACAGACGTGTCACAAGCAGTTTCACTTTTTTTTATATCTGCTCCTGTTTCTGACTGTTGTATTAAATGATGCTTCTAAAGACTGTCGGTCACTGTTTTTTTGCTTCCCCACTAATTTCGCCGATTCAACTGACTTTGAAAAGTAGTCTGACGACTCTTGCCAAAGGGTACTTGCTTTGCGGCTGGCTGCTAGCCGCTCGACGCTAATGCTGGCTACAGGCACTGTATGTCAATGTCAATTAATTAATTTTTTTTTTAATAACCCTTAATGAAGGATTGTATATGATTTCAGGACGACATTGTGTTCATATTGGTGGCACCAGTTTGTGACTCAATAATAATTAGCCCAAACTGGAAGATGAGTCAAGACAAGCCACCATGCCACCACCTGCGACCGGGAATAACTTCAAAATTAAAGCATACCAAGTCATTGACGTCCATATGGTTTGGTAAACTCATGTCTATTTTGAAGTTGGCCTTCTCCATGTCACAGTACATACATACTGCAAGGTAAAAAAAAAAAAGCATGTACTAATACTATGTTGCGATGATGTATGAATCTCAACAGCGCACGGCCATTATGTGGACGTATTTACATGGTAAGCGGAGAGCAATAAGGTAGTGTCACAATGCAAATTGCAAATTCTAAAGTAAAAAAAAATGTGTTTGATTCTTCTCCACCCCAGTGAGGCCGACCCCAGTGCGGTGTACAAGTAGCATGCGTACACACAAACATAACAGTCATGCCCGAGCCCTTAATTTTGATTTACGCTACATTACTTGCGTTCGCACTGCTGCAGTATCACCATATCACGTTGGGTTGGTTATGACCTTGGGCTTAATATGAATCCCATAATCCTCCTTTGAATGGCTCTTAGGCATCATCAAGGAGTGCGTCGAGGAAGTACTGTGAGGACTGCACAATAGCCATCTCCCTCTTTTCTTACTGCTTTGTCGCTGCTGATTTTTGTGCTTGTGGAATCCCCTCTTGAAAGAATTCCACTCAGACTTGCAGGAGCCGAGAAAAAAGAAGTCAGACAGAGAGAGAGAGAGAGACCTACAGAGACAGATAGCAAAGGGAAACGCAGAGCGAGACAGATGTAGAGAGCTCTCTTATTAATTTTAATCAAAGGCGTCTGTCTGCATGTTCAATACCTCCTCCAAGGGATGTCTTGTGCATTGCAGGCCCTTCTGTACTCTCGCTCCAGTGATCACATATCGATTCCTTTTAATCTTATCAACAATGACTCATTTCAACGAAAGCGCATGTAATCTAACAGCCACTATCGTGATCTTTTTTGCGTTTGTTTTTGGTAGATGAGACGTGTGGCATAGGCTCAATCGGACTGACAAAACAACAAGTACAACAACAACAACAACAAAAACGCCGATTAATTCCCTCCTGAGGACATCTCCCCTTTCTTCCAGGCTCCCGACATCAAGCATCACTCCGGGAGGTGCCGTCTGCTTGGGCAAGAGGGAGTTGTGATGAGAAAAGGCAAGAGCAATGTTTCCTTCACCTTAGATACACCCCCCAGAAAAAAATCCACACAACTTGTCTTTACGTTGCAATCAGTCATGTCAACTGGCCCCCTCAGAGTTGGCGAGTGAACCCTGTGGCCTAAAAATACCCATCCATCCATTATCTAAAACTCTTGTCCTCATTAAGGTCATGGGTGAGGTGGGGCCTATCCCAGCAAAATTGGGTGAGAGACTGTGTACATCCTAGACTGGTCGCCGGCCAATCGCAGGGCACATTTAGATAAACAACTAATGTTAAGATCAACAAATTATCGCCACTGATATCACCTTTAAATGTATACGCCAACATCTCTTCCTACCAAATGGAAAACATCCTTTTGTACATCCATCCATCCATTTTCCAATTCGCTTAACCTCACAATGGTCGCGGGGGGTGCTGGAGTCTATCCCAGCTGTCTTCGGGCAGTAGGCGGGGTACACCCTGAACCGGTTGCCAGCCAATCGCAGGGCACACAGAAGCGAACAACCATCCGTGCTCACACTCACACCTAGGGACAATTTTGAGTGTTCAATCAGCCTG